GGCCTCAAGCATGCAAGGCAAGCGCTCTACCACTGAGCCACCTTCCCAGCCCTGTATATACATGTATATGTATGAAACTGACTATAGTAAACACAAGATCCTACAGTCTGACCCCTTTAAATGATTAACAGGCAATGTAGCAAAAAGGAAGCTGAAACATGTCTTGACTGGGAGCAGGAGGTAATGGGAAGGGAAAAGATAAATGAAAAGAGAAGAGGTAAGTGAATACATAAAACTCAATGGACATATGAGAAAAGTTGGAAGGGTTTGAAATTCGGAAACGATGTGACTGAGGCAGGGAAGGGGTAGGTAGGAAGAAGGATGGAAGGAGTGATTATGGTTAAGATACATTGTACATATAAATGTGCATGGTAAGTGGAAACATCCTTATACAGTTATCTGAAGAGATTAATGAAAATATCAGTGTTTTTTTTGGGGGGGGGCATGTACCAGTCCTGGGGCTTGAACTCAGGGTCTGGGCATTGTCTCTGGGCTTTTTTTTTGCTCAAGGCTAGCACGCTACCCCTTGAACAACAGCTCCAATTCCATCTTTTTGTTGGTAAATTGGATATAAGAATTTCAACAGCGGGGAGCAGGTGGCTCACGCCTGTAATCCTAGCTACTCAGGAGGCTGAGATCTGAGGATCACGGTTCAAAGCCAGCCTGGGCAGGAGAGACCGTGAGACTCCTATCTCCATTAAAACCACCAGAAAACCGGAAGTGGCACTGTAGCTCAAGTGGTAGAGCGCTCGCCTTGAGCTGAAGAGCGCAGGGACAGAACCCAAGCTCCATAACAACAAAAAAACACACCTCAATCTTTCACCCAAATGTGTCAACTGTTATATTTTCTTTAAGTATATATATATTTGCAAATAATTTAAGTCAAAGAATTCTTTCTGTGTTTGAGACAAGGTCCTACTATGAAGCCTAGGCTGGCCTCAAACTCATTCTTTAGCTCAGGTTGGCCTGGAATTCCCTATCCTCCTGCCTCAGCCTCCCAAGTGCTGGGATTACAGGCATGGAGAAATCTCTTTTAACCACGAAGTATAGTAGTATGTATTTCCCGATGAGATTCTCTTACACAACTCAGTACAGTTATCAACATCAGCAAAGATAATACCATTCTTTTACTCACAGTTCATTTGTACACAATTGTCACCAAGGTCCTTAGTCTGTCATCGGTTTTTTTTTTTGGGGGGAGGGGTCAGTCATGGGCCTTCAACTTGGCCTGGGCGCTGTTTCCTGAGCTTTTCTGCCCAAGGCTAGAGCCACAACTCTGCGTTTGGTTTTCTGGTGGTTAATTGAAGTCTCACACTTTAGGGGCTGGGAAGGTGGCTCAGTGGTAGAGCGCTTGCCTTGCATGTCTGAGGCCCTGGGTTCGATTCCTCAGCAACACATAAGCAGAAAAAAAAAAGCTGGAAGTGGCACTGTGGCTCAAGTGGTAGAGCGCTAACCTTGAGCTGAAGAGCTGAGGGACAGCACCCAGGCCCAGAGTTCAGGCCCCATGACTGGACCCCCCACCCCCCCCCAAAAAAAAAGTCTCACACTTTACTGCCAGGACTGGCTTGGAACTGCAATCCTTAGATCTCAGCCTCCTTGAGTAGTAGGATTACAGGTATGAGCCACCAGTGCCCAGCTTTCTTTCTTCTTCTCTTTCTCCTCCACCTCCTCCTCCTTTTATTCTTCCTGGGGTTTGAACTCAAGGTGCTAAGCTTGCTAGGGAGGCACTCTACCACTTGAGCCATGCCCCAGCCCTCTGCTTTCATCTTGATCCTGATCTTTTGATGAGTAAGGAGAGGCTTTGGAAATAGGATGTTTGGGACAAGACAAGAGAGGGTCATAGCCCTGCCAGCCCTTTAGGCCAGGTGAGAGGAACACTTCTCCCTGGAAGCCATACAGCAATGCTGACCGCCACTTCTCACTGTCCCCAGCTCTCAGTGGCTGTCGCCACAGCCCTGCAACCAACCAGTTTTGGTGCTACTTCTCAGCCATCTAGAATCTGGGACCACCTCCAATGTTTGCTCAGGGTCAGTTGTAGCCAAAGTCTAAACAGTGCCCCAAAGAGCACACAGGCAGGCACATGGGCAAAGTGGCTTCAAGCCACAGTATCCTACAAGTGTTCCTGTGACCCATTTCACCCCTTAGACTTGCTTTAACTGGAAGGTAATATGACCCCCCCATGACTTACCAGAAGGAACAGAGGATTCTTTTGTATTTTTGTTTTTTGTTTTTGCCAGTCCCGGGGCTTTAACTCAGGGCCTGGGCACTGTCCCTGAGCGTTTTGCTCAAAGCTAGCACTCTACCATTTGAGCCACAGCACCACTTCTTTTTCTGTGTGGTGCTAGAAAATCAAACCCAGGGCTTCATGCATGCTAGGCAAGCACTTTACTGCTAAGCCACATTCCCAGCCCCAGAAGGGATATGTATGTATGTGTGTGTGTAACTATATATCTGTATCTACACACACACACACACATATATATATTCTTGGTCAGTCATGAGGCTTGAATTCCCATGCTTTTGTTCTCAAAGCTAGCAATCTACCAAATTGAGCCACAACTCCTGGTTTTGGGGTGGTTATAATTAGAGATGAGTCTCATGGAACTTCATGCCTGAGCTGACTTTGAACCATGATCCTCAGATCTCAGCCCCTTGAGTAGCAAGGATTATAGGCATGAGCCACCAGCTCCCTGCTGGAACAGAGGATTTTTTTTTTTGTCGGTCGTGGGACTTGAACTCTGGGCCTGGGCACTGTCCCTCAGCTCTTCAGCTCAAGGCGAGCGCTCTACCACTTGAGCTACAGCACCACTTCCGGTTTTTCTGGTGGTTTATTGGAGATAGGAGTCTCACGGTCTCTCCTGCCAGGGCTGGCTTTGAACCGCAATCCTCAGATCTCAGCCTCCTGAGTAGCTAGGATTACAGGCGTGAGCCACCAGCGCCCGGCTTGGAACAGAGGATTTTAAGATTGCTTTTGCCTCTAGCCCCAAGATGGAATCTTAAACATTTCCTATAATAAGTGCTGGCAACACTTTCTGTGTTTATTTTTCAAATAGGTTTTTCATTTTTCTCAAATAGTGGAAGCTTTTAGAGTTGGGGCTTTTATTTTTGGCTCACAGGGCCTAGTTGTGCCTCTCCAAGTATGACTATCCCTGTTTCCATATGGAAAAATCACTGCAGAGTGAATGGATTCACTAGCACAGTCTCAGGGCTGTGTATGTACAGAGTTTCTCTCTTGCAAACAGGTGGGGGCTAGATGAGTAGCAATGGCGTTGCAACACACACACTACCAAGCTGATAGACTAGGATGGTACCAGCTACAGCAAAAGTGAACACATTTTCTGCGCCTGGTAGCACACTGGGCTGAGATGAGGCCTTTGCTTCACTGGGCCTCAGGCTTCCCATCTGTCACATGGGATGATGCCACCTAGTTCATTGCCAAGGAAATGCTTTTAGGGTAACAGCCTTTTGCTGTGATTTGGACAGATTTTGAATGGGTTCCCCAAGGGTCCATGTGTTAAAAGTTTGATCTCCTGTGTAGAAATGTTAAGAAATAGTGAGACCTTTAAGAGGTCAGACTTGGCTAGAGTCCCTTGGATTACTGGGTCCTGGGGATTGCCCTTCACTGGATTAAGGAAGGTCACAGGATCAAAATTAGGTATTTCAAGAGTGAGTTGTTAGAAAAGAACAACCCTGGCCCTCTTTTTCTTTAGATGACCTGTCTGGTGATGATGGTATTTGCATTTATAACCTCTCATTCTGTTCATTTTAAGAAGGCTCCTCCCACCCTGACACCAACTCCAGTGATGAATTCACACACACTACCCTCCTGACTCCACATCAGCCCTCCCAGTCCAAATCCCTCGGAGGTCATTCAGAAAACAAGGTAGCTACTACAACAAAATCTTTTATTAGTGCTAAATAAGAACCCCTGCATTCTTATACTGAGGCAGGAGTTCTTGGATTTTATGCCGAGGTGCTGAGATGGCCTGGATAATTCGCAGTGGAGGAAGGTACTTCTGGGATGCCATAAACACTGGGCGACATGGCTTACTCCTTTTTTTGATGTTACACAAATCCAGGATCAAAGACTTTGGGTTGTAGATCTCTTTCTTCCTGGGGTAGCTTGGGATGAAAGGTGGCTTTTGTTGAGATTCCATTAGCAGCCGTATCAGGTCCTTCCGAAAGACGTTCCAGTGGTTCTCCTTGAGGAACCTCTGGCATAACTCTTCATCACTGAAGGGCAGGCACAGAACTTTAGCCTCTGCCCCTCCATTCCTGCCTTCTGCTCTACTGATCCAATCCCTTCTTCCCGTATACCTTCCCTTACACCCTACATGTGTCTACTGAGTACCTGAAATGTGGTCAGCCTGAATTAGAGCTGTAGTGTGGATGTAAAATACACACCAGATTTCAAGACTTACAACCACCACCAAAAAAGGAATGAAACATATCACTAATTTTATATTAATATGTCAAAAACAATAATACTTTAAAGATTCTTAATCTAGTAAATACATTAAAATTAACTTCTCTTTTTAGATCTTATAGCTATTAAAAATTTAAATTAAAAATTTACATTAAGGGCTGGGAAGGTGGCTCAGTGGTAGAGTGCCTGCCTTGCATGCATGAGGCCCTGGTTTTGATTACTCAGCACCATATAGGAAGAAAAAGCCAGAAGTGGTGTTGTGGCTTAAGTGGTAGAGCACCAGTCTTGAGCTGAAGAGCTGAGGGACAGTAGCCAGGCCCACAGTTCAGGCCCCACAACTGACAAAAAAAAAAAAAAATTAAAACTGGGAGAGAGGGTGACATTGTACAAAATGAAATGTATTCTTGGGGCTGGGAAGGTGGCTCAGTGGTAGAGTGCTTGCCTTGTAATGCATGAGGCCCTGGGTTCGATTCTTCAGCCCCACATATGCAAGAAAAAGCCAGGAGTGACACTGTGGCTTAAATGGTAGAGTGCTAGCTTTGAGCTGAAGAGCTGAGGGACAGAGCTCAGGCCCAGAGTTCATGCTCCACAACCGACAAAAAAAAAAAAAAAAGAAAAAAAAAGTAAAGAAAAAAAGAAATGTACTTTCCCTCTCCCCCACCTCTTTCCCCAAGAAATGTACTCTTGAGGGACACCGGTGGCTCATGCCTATAATCCTGGCTAGTCTGGAGGCTGATATCTGAGGACTGCAGTTTTGAAGCCAGCCTGGGCAGGAAAGCCTGAGAGACTATTATCTTCAATAAACTATTCAGAAAAATCCAGAAGTGGCTCAAGTGGTAGAGTCCTAGCCTTGAATAAAAGATCAGGGACAGCACCCAGGCCCTGAGTTCAAGCCCCAGGACTGGCATAAATAAATATTTTAAAAAGTTTAAATTATGTTTGTGATCATTAACCACCAAGGAAATCTAAATCAAAATCACAACGAAATACCACTTAGACCCACTAGGATGGCTACCATGATGAACAAGGCTGGCTGTTAAGTTCTGGTGAGGACATGAAATATTAGAATGAGGGTTCTGACACATTGACGGGGGCATATAAATGGATGGAGCCACATTCCTCAGAAGGTTAAACAGCATATGACTGGGCCATTCATTCCTAGGCAGATACCTAGCAGAAATAAAAATATATGTCCATACACAAACTTGAAAAAACAGCTCTACTTCGTACTAAACACATTTCAGGTGCTTAGTCACAGCAGTGGCTACAAGAATGTTCATAACAGCGTAATTCATAATAGCTAAAAATGTGGAAATTGCCCACAGGTTCACTAAATGGCAAGTGGATAAAGTAAGGAGTGTGTATACTGACTGTATGACTCTGTTTCTATGTAATGTCCAAACAGGCAACTCTAGACAGACAGTAGGTTGGTGGTTGCCTTAGGTAAGTCCTGGCCCCTCCCCTCAGAACATGAGAGGTGAGGCAGCAGGACAGGCTCAGCACTGTTTGGCTCACTGTAAGAGCAGGGCCTATCAAACCTCTGCTGATTTTCCTTCACTGTCCTACCCAATGGGGTAAGACTAACAACTCACTAACGGGTGATAAACAGATTCAGGATGTTACTAATCAGAACAAAAAAAAGTCAACCGTGATCCACAGCGATCAACTTAAGGAAAAACAATCTAAAAGTAGAATAGGGTGCAAGCTAGTCCTTTTGGTCTCAGTGATGAGCCAAAGTCAGCTCAAGAAAGCTAACTGGGTTGCACTTCTTCTCAACTCCACGTTTAATGACGTTAGGTTGGTAGCTTGAAACTGTCCATGTGGGCAAATTTATACTACAGAAACCAGCAAACACTGCCAGTGAGGGTGTCTTCTACCTCCAGGACGGCTGGCTGTGCAACATTTACCAGTGTGTCATGGGATAATCTCCCCTTAAAAAAATTCCATGAACTCCCAATGTCTTCAATAATGGATAACAATGTCAGACCCTGATCTAGTATTTACCAAACAAGTACTTTACACTGGTTAACTCAATTTTCATACCAATCCATTTAACAAATCTGGAAACTGGGGATCAAAGAGGCAAAGCATGTGATTTTCTTTGCCACTCCTGGGGCTTAAGCCCTGGGCCCAGGCGCTGTCTCTGAGCTTTTGTGCTCAAGGCTAATGTTCTACCACTTGAGCTACAGCTCTACTTCCAGCTCTTTTGATATTTTTAGTGGTGAGTCTTACAGACTTAGCTGCCCCACTGACTTTGAACCATGATCTTCGGATTTCAGCCTCCTGAGTAGCTAGGATGATAGGCATGAGTCACCAAGCCCAGCTTGATTACAACTTTTTAGGCATCATTTTAGTTATGTAACCAGAGGCTAAGTTGATACAGACAAGATTCCCCCTTCAGATGCTGATGGACACACTGGTTTCTAGTCTACTTTTCACTAATTAGAACAGCACTCCAGAGCCTCAGCTTGATGAGGGGGTCTGGTATTAATCACATAAGCTAAGGTTTCTCTCCTGTCCTCAGAGGCCTGCCACTTCAGACACATAGCCCTTTATACCCTCACCGGACAAGATCAGTGTTAGATCACACTGCTTACTTTGGCCTTGGCGAGTCCCCTGACTTTTTTTTTTTTTTTTTTTAACAAATGTGGCTCAGACGTAGCATGCCTTGGGTTGTATGGAGATGTGATCTAGCCCATGGTATTGATAGGATAGGTAATTTCACCACTAACTCTGTGATCCCTCAACACAGGGATTGAGCTAGATAATGGATATGTCCTGGCTGATTTAGCAGTGTAGGAAACCATGAATTCAACAATGAATGAATAAGGATCCTGCCTGTTAGCATTACAGAATGCTGACTGGACAGTGCAAGGCTGAGAGTTCAAACATCTGTGCAATCATGGCAATGTGAACCTTAGTGAAACTGAAATTTCACAAATGCTGACACCAAACCAACCAGGCAGCAATCAAGCTGAGGCTCCTAAGATTTTTCTTTAAGCCATGCTGAGTAGCTGTTTTCCATATTAAAATGTAAGGAACAGAGCAGCGTGACATCTCTGTGCTGGAAGATGCCACCAGAAACCTTCTACTTGGGGCTGGGAAGGTGGCTCAGTGGTAGAGCACTTGCCTTGCATGCTCGAGGCCCTGGGTTCGATTCCTCAGCACCACATAAGCAAAAAGAAAAAAGCTAGAAGTGGTGCTGTGGCTCAAGTGGTAG